CGCTGGCTCGGACTTTTGTAGTGCGACACGCAGTGTGCGCAGCAGCGCGGTTGTTCTGCACGCCTTCCCGGAAGGCTCCTGTGAAATACAGCAGATATCTGGGGTCAGCGTGGAGCTGTCAGTGGGACAAGTGTGCGATGGAAAAGCGCAGGGGCATGATGAGTTTCAAACATAGAAGGACGGGGTAGGGTTGAACGCATACCAGCTGCTCGGTGTCTCGCTTGCACTCGAGAGTCCGGAGACTGCTTGCATTCAGAATGCTCACCGAACGGGAGAAGCACATAGCTGTCACAGTGCGACCGGTAAGTCACGAGGAAATTTGACAGAAGACAATGTACACTCACTTATCGCGCATAATAAATGCGCGGTTCGCGAGCCGTTCCACAACGGGGCTCCTACGCGAAGTCTTGCGCGACCTTCATCTCAAAACGCCAGTCAGAACTAAAGCTGTTGCAGACGATGAGACAACGATCCGGGAGTGACTGCCGCGGATGTTCCGTACCGCTCAGACCGACGCCGTATATACGCCGGGCTTCCAGAGAGCCGGGGCGCAGTGTAGTTTCAGCGTGATTCCAGCATTCTACGACTTTGAGAAAGCCCACCTGCTGTAGAGAACATTTTCAGCCTTGCATAGGGTGCAAATATACCACACGGCCTGTAATGACACAGAGTGAGTGAGAGGGGCAGTCATAGCTACAGGGGCGTACCGCAGACCTGAAGTATGCGGAACAGAGCGCGACCATGTCGACCTCAGTTGCTGACAGATCTGGATGGTATACACGACCTTCGTGGTAGGGATAGCCTTGGAAAACAGCGGCGGCTCGTACTCATGGGCGCGTCGATGGATTTTGCGCAAGTTTTCACTGATATCCACGCAGACGATGCCGAACGGGATCTGAAAAGAGGCGTGAGACTGACTCGCAGGGGATCCACCGTTGCGGGTACTCACTGGCACCCTCGAGCTGGAGTATACCGTCCGTATCGTGGAATCTCGAGCAAGATAGAGCGCACTTGACGGGATATACACGACCCGGAGAGTAGATCAAACGGCAGCACGTCGTCGCGGTCGCTACCAAGGCGAGGAGCGCGAGGCCGCCGGGATAGTATAACACACGTGGAATAATCAAGATAGCCGTCGTCCGAGTGCAGCCGCTCGCGGAGCTCGACGCGGTCTCGCCGTCCACTTCATTGCCGCTGTTGAGATGTTCTCGGTTCAAGGACTGTTACGACGCGCTATTTTGTCAAAGGATATCGCTGCTTTGTGTAGGCAATGAGCACGGGTCCCTCTGTGAGGCGAGAACTAGTGCAGACCTCGCTGTCTCGCTTGCGTGGTGAGTCCCTGGAGAGATCACGGCTCTGGGACCTCCCGTGGAGTTTCTGCAGTGTAATCTCGAGAGCTGCAAAGCATGCAGCACCGAGCCGCCATTCCGCGTATGCAGGACATCTAAGGTAATCCAAACCTGGAGACGCCAGTCTTCAGTCGGGGTATACCAAGTAAGCGATACCAGTACTCACCCCGTGACGTAGTCGATCTCTTCGAGGAACGTCCGCGGCGGGGTCGGCAAACCTTCTCCTGCTGGTGCACGACACGGACGTCCGTGGGCGCGCAGATCGGGAACATGGCCAGGTCGTCGCTCGAGCCGCTTGAGACGTGTTTGGGCAACACATTGTCGATGCTTGATTTCCGGGCTGGGGTCGCAATACGGAGCTTCACGCAACAGGAGTCGCAGCCAGCAACGTCTAGCGGAAATGGTACACTGGCCGCATACCCAACCAGCATCCGCTTGGCTCCGGGCTACGGGGTTGACGAGGCGGGTCAGACGCTGGTACTGAGCAGTCGACTTCACCTGCACAAGCCGTCATGCACGGTATATCCAAAGTATCGTGTTCGTCGGCGTCGGCGTCCTCGGGTGTCCTAGGTCCTGCAAACATTCAAATATCCGAAATACTTCCGCGCAGAGTACAAGCTCACTCACCAAGTCGCTGCAGATCGCACCGCTTGGCAGTCCTGCCGAGCGATCGACGGTGCGACGGTTCTGGCGCTGAAGACGGCCACAGAGAATCCCACCTTGGGTCGACGGAATTTGAGCTCGCGTACGTGCACCATAGCTGTATATATCTTCCAGAGATACGATGACGGGGGTAGCGGGTTGATATCGGCTGATGGGATCTCGGGATGCGAAGAACGAGAACGAGGTGGCGGAGAGGAGCATGAGCGCCGAATAAGACACCCAAAGAGGGAGAAGATGGTGTTGAGCGGGGAGGAATACATCCTACTCTGCGAGAGGCGATGCGCGGACAGGACTGAAATATTACGGCAGGCTTTGAAGTAAGTGGGTACTCACAGGTTAACGAAGGTTTGACCAGGGGCGTTCTGAGCGACGCGGTCGCATATATGCGCATATATCCGAGTCACCTCCAAGGAAGTTCAGCTGGAGTAAAACACAATAAACATCAAACACTGATATCAATACTCACAGACCAGTCTAATCGCGCTCTTCGATACGTACGAGCTGACCAGGGCGTCATCCACGGTGCCAACAGATATGTCGAGTCAGAGCACGCGCAGCAGAGTATACGGAGGGAAGTCCCACCTCTCGGAGAGTGATGAGAAGAGAGTGTATGGGTAGGCATCAGATAGAGAATCGCCAGTCCGGAGGACAGTAGACCGACGGAGGATGCGTGATAGCACAAGGAGAAGCTTGACGTAGGTTGCGAGGCCACTGGTACTCCTTGTGCGTGGACGTGAAGCTTTGAAGGAGTCCCTGTGTTTATAGCGGGATCAATGTGTCGCAGCCCAGTATATGCAGAGATAGAGCAGTGGAAGAGGCGTAGACCGCGCAGGACGTGTCAGAGCGAGGACGTTGGCGCTTACTTGGGGAGGCGGGAGAAGCGCGCCCACGTGACCGCGCTTCTCTCGCCGCCCTATGCCCGCCTGCGCGTCATCGCTGCTCTTCGTTCTCACCACGTCTCCCGCCGCTCGTCCATGTCACTACACTTCTCAGCAGGCCATCGCCACGGTACTGAGCCTCACCTCACGCTAGCTCGGGTCCTTCGTTGCTGACTTGCACTCCAACACCGATGGCCAGCACGGCATGCCCACTCTCTTGCTCTTCTCTCGGCACATACTCGGTGCGCTTCGTACAACGACACGCATCATCACGTCCTGCGGAGACTCTTAGCAGGGCAGATGCTACTGGGGACTTATAGCACCCGCAGGGCGACGGACTCATCCGGTACGTTCTCATTTTATTTTCCATTCTTCCTGTCCTGCGCATTCTCTCGTGACGTCAGTTTCGTACGGCCTCCTCCGCTGATTCACTGTATACCTGGCTGCTGCTGCTGGTAGTTGGACTTGTCCTTCCATCCCGTCCCCACCCCACCTCCATCTTGTTGCTGTGAAATATGCTCTACCTCTATATCGTCCTGCTAGCATTTGCCCTCGTTGAGCACTCATTCGTACTCGGCCTCTGAAGACTACTACCCGGCTCTACATAATTCCATGCTCTCGCATCAAGCTCTAATTATCTGTATGCAGCGTTGACCCCATGAAGCGCGCATCTAAGAAGCACTCGAGTTCCGAAGGTATGTGTCAGCCCATGCGAGCGTAATACGTCGATCTCAAGGCTTACCTGATGCACGATACCCTTCCAGTTTCGTGAAGGTTTTCAAGCTGGATCTCACCATGGCTATCGTTGGGTGTCCCATGGAACTCCGATCTGGAATTATCGCAAAACCATTGACCCTCCCGTCCACGATTACACTGCGGCGCTGGCATGCGCAATGGTCGCCCGCCTCCGGCTTTACATCCAAACGCGTGCTCGTGCGACGTCTCAACTTCCTCGCCCGCTCAAACGCGCCTCCGGTACCACCTCGTGAACTCATCCGCACATTCTTACGCCCGTATTTTGGTGAGCGATGCCCCACCCCGCTAGCCAAATTGGTTCTGCCTCTGCACTCGTTACGCCCTGTACGTCTCCTGAACGCTCTCTCTGGTTTCCGCTCCGTTTGACTTACGCTCCTGTGCTTATGGACCTACGGGGAAGACAGGCGCTGCGACACGACGCAACTTGACGGCCCCCGCGGTCGTGATATTCATCGTCGCGTTGCTGCAGCAAAGGCCTCCATGAAGGCCTGGATGGTTCGGCGGCATATCGAAGCGGGTAAGTTGATCTCTCCGTAAACATCCGGTGGCTAATACGTCTTGTGCGACAGAAGGATCCTAGGCACGCATGCAAAGCGTAGCCAGCCAATCCGCGATCCGTGTGACCACAGGCCCCCGCGAGCTGCTCTGGGGCGCCGCGAGCACCTGGGCTGACCAGTCACTCGATGCACGGCGCGTCGGTCGAGATGTTTGTTGCAATGACTTCTATGAATGGTACCTCCTGTGAAGCTATCTGCAACTCGCCGCTGATTGGCTGGCTGCCTGTCAGACGCCTCCACCGCCGTTAAACGGATTAGTCGCGGGAGCAGTGAAGCTTATCCGACGCCCTGTCTTCGCATGCGGGCGCGGCAGTAGTGACGTTTTGTTCAGGTCTACCCCGCTGGCGGTCACTCTGGATCTGACACTAATAGGGACTTCTTCCAGCTCCAACCATATGGCTTCTCTCTAGTCGACGAGTCCGCTTGTCGCGCGTCGAAAGTTAGAGTTCCGCCCCAAATATATGCGAATCGTCTCACAGAGGTCGTCTCCGGAGATATGATCAAGAAGCTCAACCTCCCCCGAGAGGAACTCGTTATCTTGCCCAAGGCGAGCGATCGATAATCACGGCCATATCCATCATCTGACGGGGAGCGTCCTGCGTGGCACTGACTGGTCTAGCGTCCGGTGGGGCTGACTACAGTGAGATGAACACGGTATTCAATCCCGCGGCAGCGGAGAGCGTCATCAACCAGAAGGGGCTGAACGGCAAGCATATCTTCGACTCCGTGAAAGCGAGCTCGACGCACCTGCAGCTCGGGTACATCGACGTCCTCCAGTGCCACCGGCTTCGAATACCATGCCAATTGAGGAGACGGTAAGCGCCAATTGTTGGTGACTGGACGGCGCGCACGCCACTGATCACTCGATGCGACTTTCGTAGATGCAAGCTCCGCATGTTGTCGTGAAGGCTGGATACGTCCGCTACATCGGCATGAGCTCCTGCAATGCCTACCAAAGTACGTCTTTGAGCTCGCTTGGCCCGCCGAACACCCTCTCACATATGTTCTTCGTTCCAGTCATCCAAATGCAGAGTACGCCGCTCGACCTCCACGCGCGATCGCAAGCAAGGGTGCAGAACTGACCCTTTCGCAGACTACGCGATCACGCACAACCTGACGCCCTTCATCTCGATGCAGAACCGCTACTCGCTCATGTACCACGAGGAGGAGCGCGAGATGTTCCCGACGCTGAAGATGTTCAGCGTCGGCTCATTCCCGTGGTTGCCCCCCGCGCGCGGGCTGCTCAGCCGGCCGAACGATGCGTCGTCCAAGCGCGGCGACACCGACCCGTACGTACACTCGTCCTTCCCTCGGCACCCGCATCTGTTTCTCACACTCCCACGAACAGGATCCTGGCTAGGTACAAGACCGAGGCCAACCTGCAGGTCGTCGACCGGTGCGTACCTCACTGCATTTCCGGGACTGCCTTCTGACCACCGCCTCGCTGCATAACAGCGTAGAAGAGCTCGCGAAAAAGAAGGGCGTGAAGATGGCGCAAGTCGCGCTCGCGTGGATCTTTGCGAAGCCCGGCGTGTCCGCGCCCATCATCGGCACGACTAACCTCTCGAACCTCGAGGAGCTCCTCGGTAAGCGCGCGCGGGCACTCGCCACGCGCATGGTGACAGGGCTGACGCGGGGTCGTAGGCGCGCTGGATATCAAGCTGTCCGAGGAAGAGGTCAAGTATCTGGAGGAGCCGTACAAGCCAATGGTCGTCGTTGGGGCTCTTTGAATGTGTGTGTTAGCGCAGAAACATCTTCATACGAGGCATTTTGTCAAAGTGTGTGCTGTGTTGTATGGCTGAACGCCACTCTGTATTGTATTGTAGAATTCGAAAAGCTCTTACAGGAAGCTCGGACAATTCGCAAAGTTGGATACATATTCCGCTCGTCATGGTATGGCCGTGAGACGCGTGTGTTCTGTATCCGCAGGCGGTTGCTCCATTTCACCCCATGCGCCTTCGTTGCACGACGCGCATGGCATGCCCGAGTCTTGAAGCAAGCCGTGTGGCATGCATGCGTGGCCGCGGCCCTCGCAACGCTTCCGCGACGTAACATGTGCACGTATGTTGAGAATAGATCAGGTCAGGTAAACCGAACAGGCAAACCCGCGCAAAGACAACGCACGCCCCGTCGACTAATTCGGCACGCGAAGCCTCAGCAGGTAGAGGAGTGGGGCCTGTCAGTGCGCTAACACCGCATACGCTCGAGCTCGCGTATACCACCCGATACTGCTGTTTCAGCACATCAGGACCAGTCGACGAAAAGCGGTCGTGCGCACCCCATTATTGCGTCAAATGTTTAGTACAACTCCAGGGGACTCGGGATATCGTCCGGACTTGTCTGAGGTGCGCGGTGAGATCGGCCCACAAGTCGACCAGAGGGACCAAGCCGCAGTCCTCGTTGCGGCCAACGGAGAGCATCAGCGTCTGATCGTCGAGTGTCTGCGGGTTGCGAGCTTCGGACTATCCAGAGGACATGGACGTGGCATCGATGTTGCCCGTTCATGGCCATTCCGGGCTCCATCTCGCGGGGCACTCGGATGCACGAATGAGCAGGTGCCGCGTTCGTCTGCTATGAACGGCTCGTCGTGAGAACCTCGACGAGACACACGCCGTGGTGCTCTCGATGGATGCGGACACGCTGATCGCGAAGAGCACGGAATGTGTCTCGTCGAAGCTCTCGCGCCAGGCGCGTACCCGCATGTGCATCACTTTGCCAAACCGGTAGCAGCAGCCGTCGTACGGGAACGGGTGGTCGGGGCTCGCGGCCTCGCAGACGGCGCGGTAGGGTGTCCCGGGAGCGATGAGAATCCAGAGGTCTGGGGCGTACCCTTTCACCACGTTCTGGGGCAGGAGGTGGTGCCCGATGAGTCTGAGTGCGCGGAAGCGGTATCAGAGATTTTCTGGGAACGGTGGATCTTGATCCTGCTGACGGCTTGGGTAGCTAGTACTGTAGAAGGATTGTTGGAATAGAAATACGGACATATTTGAGCCATATATAGCAGGTTTTCTCTGAACTGGATCGAGCTGGGTGAGCTAAGGGAAGTTAATTCGGCGTCAAGTTGCAGGTGGCGGACGATCATTGCACCCACTACAGCTGCAGCCAGGGGTTCCCGCGCCCCAGCGGTCCGTTCGTATGCCGCGTACTCTGCGGCGTCGAAGTTCTCGCGTGCGCACCGGTGCAGCTGCCGGAAGCAGGAGACCGTGTCTCCGGAGTCGGTGTTCCATGTGGCACGTGGTCGCGACAGAGAGCGCGGCGGGACACAGGGTGGTGTGGCAGGTCTCGACGAGGACTGACGTGTACAGGATGTCGAGCGCGTCGATGTCGGCGCATCTTGGACCTCGCGAAGTCTGCTTGTGCTCTTTCTACGGCTGTCCCCGGTGTTGCGTGGGCCAGGCAATGGAACGCAGAGCGTGTGTATTGGATGATACATACGTCGGAGGGCTCGCAGTGCTGTCGCGTCTATACGCATTAGTCGACCGGGAAGGATGATGAGTTTGTCTGCGTGTTTGAGCTGTGAGCTACGTCATATGTAAGTGCTATGCTAGACATCGAGCATACGGGCTGGTGAGAGAGACATCTAGCTACTTGAGACTGCCCGTACGCGTGTTGGTGGATGACCAGGGTAGAGTGAAAGAAGAGAGACGCCCGTCCTCGGCGTCCTCGGCTTCCGGCTTCCGGTCCGTGGTTGCCAGCAGCGTACGTACGAGCGCCTCTTCTCCGTCCTCTCCCTCTTGCCATGTCGTCGTCTTTCTGGACAATGCATTCGCTCTTTGTTCCTTGCATCTCTGGTAAAATAGTATCCCGGTAAGCAATTTTTTACGCGCGTAAACCACACCACCCACGATAGCCTGTCGAGCTTACCCGGTGTTTTATACTGTCTCGTCTCCGGGATTCATTCAGCGCATAACTCGCTCCGGAAGGTCCCTAGCCTATGTCAATATGGAAGCAGCTTTCTGTGGATGCCATGAATACCTCTGTGGAACCCTGTGGCTGCCGTATTTTTTCTATGCTGCCCGGGTTGTCTGGAATCTCTTCTGGCCGATCGGCGCTGCGTCTACGCTCATCCAGCTCCGCACGTCAGGCCATCCTCAAGCGGCAGCTCTATTGTGCTGCTCCTACCCTATCTGTATCCTTCATCTACAGCGATATAGAGTTTAGCACATCGTGTAGTGCACACGCGCGCTCACACAGGTAAGTGTCTATCAGGGAGGCGCCGTACGCGTTGGCGGATTTTGCTGACCCATCTCTTTGCATTGTACATGCACGGACATTCGCCAGCAAGGTATATTCCGTTGCCTCTCATCTTGAAGTGCTCGAACACAAGGTGGACAAATGTGAGTCTACGCGAGGACAACGGCCACGGTGAGTGTCTACCGCTCGCCGCTCTACGAATGTACATTTCCCCCTTCACCACGCATGTTGCGACGGGAGGCCGCGCCGCATATAGCGTCATTTACCGCGCCCCCTAGATGGATGCCGTTCACAGCGCGGATGGGGACGCCGCTCTTCTCGTCGCATATTCACCGACCGCATGATTGGCTATGCTCAGAGTGCGCGCGGACGGCGCGACCATGGCCTTTTACGATTGGCGACATGAAGACCTCGCGCATGCATGCGAGACGCGTCGCCACGTTCCGCGGTAGCCCGGCGCGTCTTTGGCGGTGCGTTGCACATATCTGGATACTGTCCTGGCCGTGGTTGAAGTAGACAACGGATGGAAGGTACGCGGTTGGTCGTCGTCTTCGCCATTCTCGCAGGACTCATGTCCCTCGACTAGCTTCGATATCGCGGATCTGGTCGTATGCCACACCAAAAGGTGTATATCTCCTGAGGCCTAGGTTGAAGACGGCCCATTATGGCAACGAAGGAGTTCTTCTGTGAGCACGCTTGAAGCTAGTCCACGGAGGCCGTTACAAGTCGACAGCTTCGGCATTTCACGCATCATGGCGCAGCTCACAACGTGTTCTGAGCCTATCTCCCGCGTCCGAGTCCGCTTGACCGACGCAAGAAGAGGCACGTTATCGCCTAGTAGGTCGTGTCCCCCTCTTCGGCGTCATCGATTAACTAACTGCAATCACTATAGGACGGCCCCAGCGTCAGACCTCGGTACGTGCGCTCCCTGCGACGAAGCGACGCTGGGGCATCGATTGCGGGGACGGCGTATGTGCAACCAGTCCCGTCCCCGTCTGCACGCCGACAGTGCATCCGACCAGGTGATATGGACTTGGTTTGGTGGCTTACATATGCGTTGTTGTCTTCAAGTTGCGGTGCAGGCCGACCTTAGGGGCGAAGACTGCCTCCCGCTCGAACGACACGCCGGCTCTCTCACGCCGACGAAGTGGCTTCTTGCGGGTTGCCCCGGTTCTGCTGTAATTATGTGCTCACGGACCCGGCGTTTGGATATCGCATTGACGTCCCCGTTGCGCGGCGCAGACGACAAAAGTGAGCTATCTGGCGGCGAGCGGCAGCGCGGCGGGGACAGTGCGTCTTGCTCAGTGCCGCAGCCCATGCAACGCGTCGTGCATCGCAGTGCCTCGTGTACCAATCACCAGAGGTTCCTACGTTACCATCTCGCGGCGCGATGCCCTCTCTGCCCCCCCCCCCTACTCTTTGCGACCAGCTCTGTCCGCCAGCCATTTGCTGTTGCTGACGCTGTCGTAGGTGTCACATAGGCATTAACAAATGGCGGCGTGTATGGGCGAACCGTGCTTGGCAGGTCGTTACCGAGCAGTTCCCCTGGGCGACTGCTCGTTCTACCAACACATTCCTACGGTCTCATCTCGTGCGCCTCGAACAAGCATAAGGCACTCGCCGCTCTCGGTTTCTTCTTGTTCAAGCAGCGAAGACAACCGCTACAAAGGTGCTGTCTTTCTTCGCCGTATCTTTGTTTTTACGAGTGACTGTGGCCGCCATTCGTGGAAGGACAGAAGCGCGGACGCGGTAATATAGTTCATGCTACGTCTGCGCGTCGTACCAGTATGTAGCTACGTACACGGTGGTTCGCCCAAAACGGAATGAATCAATAGCACCACGAAACGTTCTGTGTATAGGTATTGGTAACGGCACCACGACTTGCTTTGTCCTGTACATTGTATGTATCAGTATGGGGGGCCAATACAACATCAGCAGAGACGACGGAAGCGGTGGAGAAAGTGAGATATAGGTAACGGGACCGAGGAAATGCGCAAGCGCGAACAAGTAACACGAGCACAGGAAACCTGTTCGAGCGTGAAGCAGCGAGAAAAAGTGAGTACACGTAGACGCGGAACGAGGAGTGGAAGTGGAGGGTACCGTAAGGAGAGAATCACAAGTCATTGTACTATGTGACGTATGTATCAGACGAATCGGGACAGCAGGGGCGCGATAGTCTCCTCGTACTGGAGCCAAAGGGTGAGCTTCGGAGTGTGCGAGGCGGAAGGGCATGGATTTGGAGAGTCATAGATACGGAATGAGGTGTCGCAGACGCCAGAAGGCATGATGCTGGAGACGGGGAAGCGATCTTGATTCTTCGCGGCAGTGATAGGCAACGAACTATGCGGTGAGAGGACGCGCCGCCCAGGAGGTCGGAGAGCGGTACTTGGATTCCAGGAGGACATGACCGAGCGACGGGAGTGGGATCAATGTGACTGCGACCGTGGCTGACGAAGGGAATGACTTGATCATATCAGGGAGATTCCTGATATACTGATGTCCGTGTCGAGGCGGAATTGCTTCCAAAGAAGGTGGC